TGGTACACATTGGAACTACGCAGTCAGTCCACGAGCGACATGTCGGTACGCTATGTCCACAGCGTGCGGTTCTATTCTGTGCTATGTGCACGCGTCCAAATGGTCACCTTCTTCAGGCGTGTGAGTATATTCGCGAGCGTGGATTTGATTTTTTTTGAAATTTAAAATGACCGATCTCGCGATGAGAAGATGAGAAAGGAAAACGGAAAAGGATAAAAAAAACCATTGCAACTTTTCTTACAACATAAATGTGATATATCAGAAAAGATGTGACAGTCAAGAAAAGAATCTTATTTTAGCGAGCAGCATCAGAATTCGTGGAGCGTATCATCTCCTTTTACATCATCATTTGCTGCTCTGTGCTTTATAAATTTTATTTTATTTTCTTAAAAATATTACATATATATATATAGATACAAAATACACAAAAAACTATGTATATTATACAAAAGTGTTTTAACGGTACACAAATATAACGTCTGAAAAGTTGCAATTCCAAGAAATATAGCTTTTGCTTTTTTATTTAAAACTCCTTATCAGTGAGTTTTCTAGTTCCAAGTTTCATTTTACAATTTTTTTATACATTACAATATAGAATACAATTCTATTACACATTTGTTACATATAACATACAATATAATACAATATTATACAATATTATACAATATAATATAAATAGTTATATATAATCCTACCTATCTACCTATACCTATCTTAGACATCTGACATATCTTAAACGTAACTAACGTTATTAATTAGAATTAAGGCTGCGTAACAGCCTTGATCCTAATTTTACATTTTGATTTCTCCCTACTTATCCGGTCTAATATATTTCCTAACATATTTCCTACCTACCCGGCCTAATATATTTTCTACAAACGCTTGTAGATACGCATCCCTACCTACACAGATACCTATTTACCTACCCTACCTACTTTGGAAAGTTTAAAAATCTATCAAATATTTTACGCGAGGGGCAATTGTTTTAAAATTACAAAATGATATTTTAAATTTATTTTACTTTCGCGACCGAGTTTTTAAATTTTATTTGATTTAAAGAAAGCATGTACCCATCCGATAAAGCCTACCATGTATTTATAGATGAGATAGAATATGAAAAAAGTAAAAATATATATTTAAATATATATATATTTCAAATATATATTC